CTTTATTTATTTATCTCTATCCTTATCATGATTAAAGTTTAGAATGAAAAAAAAGAAGAAAAAAAAGAAATCTCGATTATTCTAACACCTAAAAACTTTATCACTTTTGTCTACGATAACATCTACATATAAATAATGTTTATATAATGATGGAATGTAATGGATACTTTTCAAGTTTTGTCATGTTACTTAAAAGATAAAATTTTCAGGATTAGTTGAAAATGAAAATATTAAATAAAAATAAAAGTATAAAACATAAACACAATATCAGAATGCGGTTTTGTGGAGATCTTAGTAATTTTATATGGTTGAGATCATGAGTCAATTGAAGCTAGACCACCATGAGAAACCTGGAAGCACTGCTTGATGGCCGTTTCGTCCATTTGTGGGACTCCTCGACAGTGTGTATCCACGATTCCACCTCATGAGATTCGAATCCGGGACCTATCAGTCTCGCGCATGAGTGCTTAACCTCTAGACCACTGAGCCTTCTGATAATAATCATACGCTCACTAGTGACTGACTTCAACAGGTATTTTCTGAAGTTCTAGTGAGAAGCAGTGACCAGTGGAGTTCAACTGGGTTCGTTGTGAGATAGTAACTCACTGAAGACAATGATGGATGTGTCTCTCGATTTCGTGGATTGATTGAAATTAGACATTAACATCGTTGGATGCCGGGCTCAGGGGTCTAGAGGTTAAGAACTCACACGCGAAACTGAGAGGTCTTGGGTTCGAATCTCACGAGGCGGGATCATGGATGCGCACTTCTGGGGAGTCCCACAATGAGACGAAGCGGCTGTCCAGTGCTTCCAGGTTTTCCATGGTAGTCTAGCTTCAATTGACTCATCAATTCAACTATAAAATTACTAAAATCACCACAAAATCCCCTTGTGATTAAAATATTAAATAATTGATTGTTAATTTAACAGTACACTAAAGATTTTCATACTTTAGAACTTCTTCATAACTATTTATGTTTATTCTCTACCAATTAAATCCATGACGCACCTTGTGAACTTAAAACTTCCCAATAAGCTGGATGTATTTAGATAGTTATGCATATTGTTACAAAAGGCGAACTAAATTACTAAAACACATAGAAGTAAAATTCAATCTAAAGCCTCATCGTGGCACTGTTGAGTAGTGAGGGCAATCTTGCTGGTTATAACTTGGGCGGTCGGTGAAGATCGGACTGATCCACCAATTTGATCTAAGCCGGATTAACTGGGTTTCGATTTCGGGGCACATTGAAATATTGCTAGCCACCCAATGTCTATACTTATGTATATAAATTACATGAGTTTAGGCTTGTGTGGTTTATGTATGTAAATATATACAACGGGTACGCTTTTGGGTTCGCACAACGAACGCAAACTGAAGAATATTTGCCTTATGTCTAATAAAATAAGCTACCTAATCCTTCGGGTCGAAGATATAATAAAAAGAAATATGGTAGCAAACACTATGGAGAGGTGACCATGAAATCTCCATAAAAGAGTGCTTATGCTTATGTGTATGTCATGAGGTACAGAAGCAAAAGTCTATGTACCAGTGATATACATGTAGTGTGCAAGTGACAGTCAGTTGTAACAAATGCGTTCGAACGGAGCGGTGACCATCCACCCTTTCCAAGTGGGTGAACGTACCCAAAAGTATGCTATGGGATACATCAGTGAAAGCTTATGCGTTACCCGTGTGCATGTAGGTTAAACTCGTCTCTGGTCAGACGCCTGCGCGCTAAGACCTGGAGGTAACGATCTACCCACAAAATCACATCCACGTGGTGAGTTTGTGACTCTTTCGACATGGAAATTATTTTCAGAAAAACCAGTCGTCTTAACCGGATAAGGTTTGACCAACCTTAACATGACTGAAACACCGTGCTAATAAATGTAAGAAATTGACCTAAATGTGAGATGATCTTCAAATAACCATAACCATAACAATAACTCATTAGTTTTATTAGAAAGTATAGAAAAATATCGGGAAAAAAATTAAAAAATGATTAAATGATAAAAATCTTATTTAAACAAATACTAAAATCTAACTAATTCATTCATTGGAGATAGCAGTTGTAGGAAATCTAGACTTAAAGCCGTAAATTTTATGTTTCAATGTCATCACAGAACATTATTTAAATTAAATATCTGGGAGAAGCATGTATATGTAAACAGAAGAGAAATGAGTATGGTTAAAAATTATTTAAAATATTTTCATAATCACACATACTGTACGGAGCTGAAACATGGAGAACTACTACAACCATCATCAAAAAGATACAAGTATTTATAAACAATTGTCTATGCAAGATACTCAATATCCGTTGGTCGGATATCATCAGCAACAGCCTATTGTGGTAGAGAACAAATCAGCTTCCAGTTGAGGAGGCATGAAGGAGGTGGAAGAATAGCAACGGGAAAGGATTGCCCGAAACAGAGCTGGATGGGGAACGCTGGTGAGCAGTCTATGCTCCTCCACGAAGGGTAACAGGCATAAGTAAGTAAGTACATTAGAAACCAATAGTATTGTTTGAACGAAATGTGGAATTCGACTGAGAAATACTTCCTTCATGAATATATTACTACTGAATATAATGATTGTGATATATTTAATAATTTTCTTATGAACTCAAAGTCTACTCAAGAAGACAAAGTCTTTTCACTAATTTGCTCATTCTATATAATATTTTTAAGAATATCTGTTTACAAATGAACTGTGAAGAATATGTATCTCTGTAATTGTAATATCTAAAATAAAGAAAGCTTCATGTTCTGTTACAAAATATTGTTTCAACAATGATCTTTAGAATTTGGAATGTCTAGGATATCTTGTTCACTTGGAATTTTAAATCAAAACATGACAGCCAGTGAATAGTAACCGCTGAGGATCCACTGAAAAGCAGAAATTAATGAACAGTTGTTTTGTTTCTATTTTTTGAGACCTCAAAATTGCATATCTATAATCCCATAGCCGTAAGAACACTGGATCTTCTGATTTAATTACAAACACGTTGCCTCTTAGTTGGAGAATCCAGTTATTCATATTTTCAACCTACTTCATTTTGTCATAAAAAGCAATAATGATAATGACAATCGTTAAAATAAGAAGTACCTTTTTGTAAATTATTAAATTATCTGTGTCTGGAGAAACAGTGCTAAATATGACCATACTCTCTACAATTAATATTTTGATTGAAAGTGACACTGATCGCTAATATATATTCAATCAACTAGTAATATCTCAGTCCTACAGGAGGTCAGCCTAGGCCTAGGTAGCTCAGATTGTGAAACTGGGTAACGCGGTTACGAATCAGTCATGAAGAAATAGTTCCCTCAAGATTATAAGTTCCCGATTCTGACTAGTCCCAAATAGAATGAAATCTAGGTTTGTGGTTTTCTGTCAACTACCTCTAACCATTCAACACATCCTCACCAGATCAATACTTCACCCTAAAATGACACTGTACGGTGAAATCACAAAATTATAAGCGGTTGTTTACTTTTCTTCTTACAACAATAATAACCTTCCACATAGTGATCAAATAGATCAATAGTTTGAAATTGATTTCACGATTCTAAGACTATGGAATAAAATTGTAGAAAAAGTGGCTTGTCACTGCTGAAAAACACTAAAACAATGAAATATTTGTCTGATACTTCTTGTTTTTCCTAAACTACCCTTTGAATCAATTCAGACTTTCAAATATCAGCAGCACTCAATTCATTTGAATTACAATATAACCATTAATAATATGAAACTATAAATTCGATAAGTATTGTTTGTTTGAATCTTCCCATTGATGCTTGGGACTGCAACTGGTCAGTGGCTGTCAGGATTTCACTGCTAGCCACTATCCATCTTTGCTTACAATATGAAACTACATTTTAATTAACAGAAAGATTTGTTTCAATGTATTGTTCAAGTTTTCGGTAGTTTAAAGACTCATTTTAGTAAGAAAATACTTCGGTTAGAAAACTGTTACAATTCTTTCTCCTTTAGAGGATGTATGCCAGTGGACGGTCCCAAAATAAAACATAACATCTATTCACCGTTCTCTAAGGTTCAATGATTCTCCAGTCGATGTTAATTAAGGAAAATTAGTATATTATGTTCTTCAGGTTACAATCAATCTACGCCAATTGTCAATAGAAGTCAGTTAAGGATAGACAATTTCTAAAATAATCAGTAACAGATTTCGCTTCATCTATTCATTTTATTGGTTAACTATTCATATAATAGAATAGAATGAAAATTATATTAAAACTGATAATCGTTTTTCAAAATAAATTGATAACAATCACCCCTTTTAATGCTACTATTGGTTCACATGTACTTGGTTTTTCTAACAAAGTAGGTCTGACTACTCCTATTTATCATCTTAATATCTACGTATCTATCTACCCATCTTTCTATCTAACAATCTATGTCTGCCTGTTCAACCTAATCCATCTTCCTGCTAATTTTGTCACTTAGTAAACAACGCAAGACAGAGGATACATGTAACCTGGTTCATCTAATCTTCCATCTTCTATCGTCTGTCTGCCAATCTCTTTTATTCTCTCTCATCTAAGTCTTTTTTCGTAAATACTCCCTGTTATTTGGATAATTTCTAATGGTTATCTTAGCATTTATCATTCTGCCTGGTTAGATAGATAGGTAGATAGATTAATTAAAAAATTCCCTAAAAAAGCTAGTATTGATGTTAAAATATATCATAAAACTAAATATACTTACCACTCACTTCTAGAGGTGAAAACAAGTGTGGGAGAGAAAATGTAAATGGTTTGTGTAACTCCGTGGCAGCTCAACTGATAATATAATGTACAGATATGAGAGAGATTGAAATAATCACGTTATATATATTCTCTCTTATCTTACACAAAGATCTGCTAAAATAGTTTATCCACAATACATTTTTTTAGAAAAAGCATGTCCAAACTATGTATAACTATCAGCATACAACTTAATACATAAATCATTAAAAAGACTATTGTACTGATGAGCTCGTCAATTATTAATGATTGTACTAGCAGTATTAATAAATTATTATATGACCATTCTTTAGGGACTTATACACTCCATTCTACTGATGATGGAATGATAAGTAAGTTTTTTATTTGCAGCTTAATTTTACACCGATCAATATTATTATTGCATCATTATATATATATATATATATATATATATATATATATATATATATATATATATATGTAAACTTTATTGTGATCAAAAGTTGAGTTTCGTATTTTTTGCAGTTTACCATTGGAATTCACTAATAAATGGTGAATCTATAAGACTGCAAAACACATTGTGTTTTAATAGGCTAAATTCAAGACTTTCATTATTATATGATAACGTTAAGAAAAAAAATGACGATTTACTTGCACAATGAAATCATGGTACTCAAATGAAGATCCATAATATTCAAATTAGCCATTAATTTCTAGTCTAGTGATTGCGTAGTGTATACTTCAACACTATGATGTACAAGTGTGACAGCATAAATCCAAGTTAAGCAGCTTTTACGAAATAAACGTAACCTGACTATCAAAGAACACTGGGTTATTAATGTTATTTACTGATTATGATACACGAAATAGAACCGAGGAAATCGAAATGTTATAGCCAGTGAAATAAATTTTCATAGCTATGTTAAAATTCAGTGATTCATATTTTCACTTTCAGTGAATTTGTGATATAGCATGATCCCTATTGAGTCTCAATGAATCTCTGAATGACTTCAGTTTGTGATGGAAATTACCTACTAAGTATCTACGAATTCTTAACAAAACCTCTTCAATTAATTATTATTTCAGTCAAAAACACCATGATTATTCTCATGATCGCTATTATTATTATTATTACTATTATTATTATTAGCTTCACTTTCGAAAACAGTTGCTCTTTTGGAATATCTTCAAAAACAAAAATAAATTTTAATATTAATCCCATAGATATAATTTATTCCATCACCAGTCATCAATTTACAAAACATACTCAGTTTTGTAGAAATACCTCCTTTTCAACCAATTTATCAAGGAATTGACTGTTACAGCAATTTCATTTGTTCGGATCATTGTTTCAGTAATCATATACAATGATGAATTCCTATTTATTTCGGTCATATTTAAAAATATGCTTGAGATACATCATTCTTCGATAAAGTCACTGGGATAAATTAATTATCTTGAGTAACTATTACTCAGTGACATTTTATCATGGCATTATCAGTCACTAATATAATATCAATAGGATTCATGATTTCACTTACTATATGTTTCATCATTAGGACTATTATAGTATGAACTTCAGTCCGTCAATCATAGGTAAAGCAGGACCTGGTTTAATTAAGTATGTGTCTCATTTGCTGCACATGAAATCAACACAGTACGAATAATAATAATAAACGAGATAATAAACCGAAAGAAACAAATGATAGCATCAACCTCAGTGAGAAGCTAAAATAGAAATTCTTGCTCAAAATAAATGGATAAAGTCTACGAATGATGAAAAAGAAATAACATGAAGTTCAAGATGTAGGGTACAACAAAAAGCGGATTCATTTTCACTACTACAATTATACGTTTAGACTATTACACAGACTCCAACTTGGAAATCTATATCTCCTCACAAAACCTTGACAGACACCCAGTAACTGAAAGCTATGAGCGTAGTTCATCTTCTAGCAACTATTACTAACCCCTAAAGAATTCATCTAAGTATTAATATGATAATTTAGAGATTATAAATTCTATATGATATTGTTATGATTAAAGAAATAACTAATTCGATATTTTCAAGACGTGAGTTATCCTCTGTGCGGTTGAATAATATGAATCATTTGACTTTTGAATTTCACTTACTTAGAAAAGGCTAACCTTTTAATACTAAACATATTTAATGATTAAGTTGACGACAACGAATACATTTAATTTTTCATGTCGAATGGCGTAATTTACTTTAATACCTATTCAAATGACATTTAAATCGTCGGTTACTTTCTACTCTGTAAACTTGAAATATCAAAAACAATATTCCAGTTCTTCTTAAATCATTCAACTATATTCCCTTCAACATTACTATAACTTGAAGTTATTAACTATTTTGGCTTTTTTTTCGTTTTAATTACAATATATTTATTATATTTCTGGACACTAATTCATCCATTGCCTTTGTTTATTGTTACTATAACAAGTAGAGTTAACTTTTTTTATTACTAAAGTAATAAGTGATAACCTTGATAGTTAAATCCTGTTTACAGTTACACTATCAATCTCATGTGGGTTTAAAAATCAAAGTTATTTAGAATGACAGTCTATCTGATGCGTTTCACAGAATCTCGGCTTTCATTATGAGGTGTTATTACTCATTTATATGAATAGCCTTTAATTTTCAGAGAAGAGTTTAGTCAGTTTCATCCAGTTATGAGTTTCGTAGTGTAGTTCTTTTTTATGAAATAGGACTGATAACCCTATGTTCAAACCTCCTCCTTTTACAGACCTCAGGATCAGTAGTAGCTCTAGAAGGGTTCCGGATGGAGTTTAGTCAAGAAATATGTAGAATTATTTGAGTAATTACATTTTCTGATATTCTATTGATTACATGAAATAAAATTATACAAATGTTTGTGGCTAATTTGAAAAATCTGAAAAGTCAGTGTCAATTATTAGTCACTTTTCATAAACATAGTTCATTTTATTATCTTGGAAGAAGTAGAAACAAAGATTTGAGTAGAATTACATGAATTACTTACATTTCGTTATGTTATTATCAATCACTTGCATTCTATGATATTTTTAATTCAAAATTATTAAGAAATTTGATATAAATATATGATAGTTATGTAAGAATCAAGAGACGAATGTAGAGAATAAGTAAAACACAAAAATGGAAGGAATACGAAAATTGTTTACCCAAGTTTTGCTACCGACTCTGCCATATCGATGGCCAGGGTAGCGAGAGTGATTGTGCAAACTTCTTTTGGATACAAAGGTTCGGTTTGTGAACATGGATCGCGATGGCTTCAGATATGTGCAAAAGACGAACTCGTAAACCATGCGGCAAATTTGATGAAATATGGTAGATAACCTTAAAAGCTTTATTCAGTTGAACTTGATTACCTGTGTCCACCAAGTAGGCGAAAATAGGACTCTTAATCACTTTTACTTGTCCTTTGCTCTCCTTTTAAATATTATGCAACGTAACAACAGCTTGATTTTCGAACAGTTACTTTGATTATTATTAATCTTCTTTCTTCCAACTAATAATCGATATGTCATTATATAATAAATATATAAACCGAATCGGTGAGACGTGATTATTTATCATCACGATGGAATGACGACTGGAATAACGTTTTATGAAGACAGGAGTAAATGTTACAAATGTATGCATGGTATATGAGAGAAAATTGCAGAACATCAAAATATTAATGACAAGCCATATAGCTAATAAAAAACTTTTCGAAAGTTTTAGGTCAAAGGGATTAGAGGCTTTCACTAATGCTACATCAAGGCAACACTCTGATACAGGAAATCAAGTTGATACATTGAAATCTTTCACTATGATTAATGAACAAACTTTAGTCTTCTTAAACTTGCTGAAGCTATAACAATTAATTGTCTCTAATCGGATTTAGGTCGTCATAAAGAAACAGTGGTAAATCTTCCCTTACTATGGTAGTATTACTCTTTCTTTTACTTCGATTGCATCATTTTTAAATATTTCAAATTCAGAACTTTGTTTCTAACTTATTGATCTCAACTCACGTTATTAATAACGACCATAAAATTATGTTCAGCTACTTTATTAGATAATCAAATACGTTTTTGACTCGATTATCTATGGTTACCATTTAGATGTTGTCCAATTTTCTCTCATATACCATATATATTTTTAACATTTACTTCTATCTTCATAAAATGTGATTCCAATCGTCATTCCAACATGATGATAAATAATCACGTCTCACCAATTCGGTTTATATATTTATGTTAAATTTAATAATAATTTTGATTTCAAAATATCATAAAATGCAAGTGAATGGTGATAACCTTAATAAATGTAAGCAATTCATGTTATTCTACACTATTCTTCATATACTATACACTTGATTGTTCACTAGAAGCAAACTTTTAGTTATCTCTAAACTATAGTTTCTAGATGTAATTGGATTAGCCATGTCTAATGGAGCCGACTATCTTTTCATTGGTTATTTAATCTTTCTGGATTTGGTTGGTGTTACTACATGACCTACAAATTTAATAGATCAAATTGTTGTTAAAAATGAGAGGGTGATGAATTTGAAATTTCACATCAAAGAGTGACTTTGGTTATAGCCTATGACATGACGCCCTGATAGAAAAAACAGCTATGTAGGACTGGCATTTATCGGTTCATTACGACTCTCTGGTTTGGATCCCACAAATGGTACAACTCAGTGGCTTGATGTGTTACCAGACATGGCTCATAATAGAAACAAATGGCTATCCTACTGTAGTTTTTATTTAGGTTACTGTAAAAGGAAGAACCCTTTTAATTGAAGGAATTTCTTCTTGATTACGTTATTAAATTAACTGCTCACTGCTGAGTAGTCTCGTATTAAGATGAAACGGTCGTCCAGTGCTTCCAGGTTTTCAATGATGATCTAGCTTAGATCGACTCATGAATTCAACTGTTATTAACTAAACTGTGTGTTTTATCGTAACTTGTTCTCGTTCAGTTATTGTTTTGTTTTTTCTATTTCATTTCTTTTCCATCAATTATTTCTTCACAATAATAACATTATTTTTATTTTTATTTATTTATTTAAACACATAAATATTGGTACAAGAAGGCACCAGATATATATGCGCCACACAAATCTCATTTGATTTGTGTGAGGGCTATGAGACTTCCCAAGTGCCCAAACTGAAGCGGGTGGTTCTCTTGGGGATCATACCCGGAGCCTTTGACCTGAAGATCTAATACACAAGGCAATGGAGCATCGTGAGGAGATGCAGTCCCATGGTAGCCGGTGATCAACGATTGATTCATGCGCCATTAGTCCCCTCAGGATACTGAAGCCTATGTGCACCATTAGTTTGGAATCAGGGTTTTCCA